ACACGGATGAAGTTAACACTCGATCTCAAGAGCCACCAACACTACCAGAGCAAGCTCACTGGTGTTCGTTGCACACAGCAATCACCCCAGACTTAGTGTACACCGACAAAGAGGACAGGAATGAAAACAAAGAAAGCAACTAGCCAGTTAGTGAGTTATAGAAGCAACCATTTTGTAGTTTTGGCCTTACTTGCAAGCAGTACATATGCCTGCCTCGGATTTATTCGCAAAGGTACTACTGAAATGGAAAGAAACGTTCGAGAAGGACTAGAATAGTTTGGACACGAAGACAGTGAGAAAACAGGCCTAATTTTGAATAGTTGCCAGTATTCATAACCTCTCGTTAGCGGCTGCTTGAGCTGGAAACGGTCACAACCCCATATAAATACCGGTCACTGTAAGGGCCTTTTTTATCGCCTTTTCGTCCCGAAATAGCTCTATTGAGCCATCTCAACCAAGATCATCCAGCCGAATGGTGAGCGTTTATCCTTCGGCAAAAAAGAACGTTCAAACTATCTGCAATTCACTCACCATAAGAATAGCTTTTGTATTCACCAGAGCACTCATCGCTCTAATATCGTACAAGGTTGTAGTTAGTAGGCTGAAACAGTCAACTAACGCGGCTATTCACCTGTAGGAACTTTGTGGTGTATAGCTGCCATGCAAGCCGAAGGAGGCACGGGGGTTGCCCGGTTGTCCAAGTCAAGACAGGCGCATTCGAGGTGATGAAGTTGGGTACAAACTACGGACATTCCGGTCAGTAAGTTCTCACCCTAACCACTGAGATGTCTCGAGCTCAGGAGCAGCTGTCTCAGCTCAGCCAATTCTGCTGTCCCGCAACTACATCAACTGCTTGTGACCGTAGTATGCATGAGTAAAATGATCGGTCCTTGGAGGTTATAAACCAGTTATGACAATAAGATGGGTCGTACTTCCGCTGTGACGAACGTACGCATCGTCTTCAAGTTTTTTGTGACGACTAGAACAGTGCAAGCCCCACACTTGCAATTACAAACACACGGAGTCAGAATGAGTGGGATTAGGGACGCCGATTTTGTTAGTGGGTGATTGGAGAAAACTGTTGAGGTAGCTCAATGGTTAGAGCACCAATTTACTGACAAGAAGGTCCGTAGTTCAAACCCCACCTCCACATCCCGACTCCTCCTGTCTAGGCTTGGGCAACCCAGCAGAATCCCAGCCCTGGTGTTCCCTTCAGGTGGCAGGGTGTTACAGCCGAATGATTTTTTTTAGAGATTTTTTTAGGGAGAAATGGGATGGTTTGAAGTAAACACACACATCTAGCAGTCATATTGCAAATCTTTTCACTATTGCTCGGAATCGTACACTGGTAAAGTGAGAAGCGACATGGTGAACTGTGTGTCGTCGATTCCTGTGAAAGGTCGACACAGATACGATGCAACAACTAGGCCCGCTCTTTCCCCGCCTTATAAACAGTTTGTGCAAAATTTGTACCTATTTTGGTCACTCGTGCGTAAAGCTCAGGAAAAGTCATGCGTCATTACCATTTAACATCAGTTGTTTCTCGCAAAAGATCAACCGTCACTCATTAGGACCAGCAAGGTTGATTTGCATGGCATTGCCTGCAAAATGAATTTTCTCAGAATGGAATGCGAATTGAGGGATGCGCCATCCTTTCCGTACACAAGATAAATACGGAAATTAAACGCTACCAGGCGACGGAAGCTCTCACTTTAGAGCTTAGACCTCAAAGCCTAAGCTGAAAAAGACCTCAGAAGGATTATCAGCCAAAGATTTTCATCCAGTTCCCTCAGGTGCTTGTTTGATCATGATGGGAACACTCCCGACTAGTGAGAACACAGGTAAGCCAAGCAGTCACCCATCAGGATGGCACAGTTTTTTCCCGACCATCATGATTCATGTCAAGGGAGCTATTTGAGTCATAATTTAAAGTGAAAAGCGCCAGCATCGTGTGAAGCAGCAGTTACAGTTATGCTAGTTACAAATAGAACCTCGATCGATCGGCCCAAAGTACTAAAACATTACTAAAAAATTGAAGCAGTAAACACATAATGGTGGCTCTTCTCGCGAACGAAGGGAACGTTTGTTCGATAACACCGAACAAACGAGAATACAAAAACACAACATAGCTCCTTGCCTGCATGAAGAACCAAAAAGACCCAATCAAGAACACTAGAAACAAGGTTGCGAACCCGCAATATACTACGCGAAATGAACACTATCAGGGAACCACTGCAATAACATCAAGCCAAAATACACCACTATAAGTTTTGTGGCCTCTACAGAGTTAACAGAAACAATGTTTTACCAACTCATTCACATACCGAGCCGCAAAACAACTTGTGGCTCCAACAAGAACGAAGAATATCTGGAGCAGTGAGGACTCTGAGCTCAATTTTCCGGGTGTCCCATTGAAGAAGTAGAAAATGATGATATCTGTCGATGTGTGCACCCTGTTAAAAATGCCCGGATGGTCAGCAACGTGACCCTAGCTTGGCAACAAAGTCGATCATATTGTCCACCTGACAAAATTGGGCTCAGAAACATACATACAGTTCGATTACCTTGTCTATCAGTAAACCCACGGAAACTCAGTGGAAGTACTCGCTGGAGTGGCGGCGTAATAATTCGAGTGTGAAGCATTAGAACGACACAGACCGAAACAACACTATGCAATATAGTGTAACTGTTCAACGACGAACTGACTGACGTTTGATGTGATGTAT